CTCAGCTCAATTTTATATACAAAAATGCAAACTATGAAGAAAAAAAGGAAAGGAAAAACACTGCCTGGAAAAGTTAGTATTAAGTTGGCAAACCAAACACTCCATTTTACATGCATAACAAAGGAGGGTAAATAATTCTTCTAACTACTCTGTGCTGCTCAATAGAGAAATTTTAAGCAAATGATACATGAGAACCACTGAACAAACCAGAAAAAAAAAACCCCAAATGCACAAATCACCTATGAAGTTAGTCTTCTCCTCCCCACCCCCATCAAATCTCAATGTAAGCCTCAATATCCAAATGCCAATTTATAGGAATTCAGGAAAATCTCAAATGTGGCAATTGTGCAGGATAAATAAACTGGTTTCTTCAACAAAGCGCAAGGAAAAAAACAGAAGAAACATACAAATTAAGAGGTTTGAAAGAATGCCAGTTATAGTATGTGGGAACCGGATTCTGATTCAAATAAACCAGAAAAATGAGCAGAAAAATAATACCCAAGAAAGAAAAATAAGAACCTCCATGTGCAACAATGTTCAGATTTTAATGAATTTCATTTGGTTGGTAAAAGGACATTCATTAAGACAATTTTATACAGTTTCTTTAACAATTATGAAGTACATTGTTTTAAGAACTCTACAAATAGTATTTTATTTATTTGCCACAAAAACCCTATGAGAAGTTACTATTATCCCCCACAGGCACAGAAATTTCACTTTAAACTCTCCCAAGGTCACCAAGCAGTAAATGGCAATGCAGAGATTCAAATCCAGGCTGTATAGCTGAGGCCCTTAATTACCGTACCAGCTCTCTATATGATGTGGTAGAAACTGAGCTTTAGAATCAGGGAAAGCTGCCTGAATCCAAATCTCTCATTATGTTATATAAATTACTTAACTTCTTGGAACCTCTGTACACTTACTGTAGAAGGGTTAATATTATCTATTTCTAAAAAGTATTTTGAAGAATGAGATTATATATATTGGATTCTATTACAGCCTCTAGCTTATGAAGCCCACAATAAACTACCCTTTCCATCGTAAGACTAATTAAAAAGTAGAGCTAATAATTCATAAATATATAGCAGGAACACTGGAATGGCTCTACCTTTTAATTAACTAGCCAAAGAGCCCCCCAAACAACTTTTCAATATACTTCAAAGGTAGCAATAATTCAGAAGAGAATTTTTCATATAATGAAATTTAAACTTACTATCAGCAGAAACAAGAGTTTGAAATCTGAAGTATAGCTAAACTTAAATGAATTTGATTTTTCTGGAAACAAAATATATTCCACACAAATAGACCTACTGCTCAGAAAAGTGTACTAAAACTTTGTTCATGCTGGTGATTCTCTAGCCTGATATCTGGTTAACATAAGGCAAAGCAGTTTTATCACAGAAAAGGAAGGTAAACATAATGAGTATGTTAAAAGCCAACTTCTTTAAGAAAGACAGCTTTCTATGTTGGTCATCCTGTTAATATTGTCCACTTATCTGTTAAACTACTAAGTTCTTTGTTGACAAAATGTTTTATGGCTATTTAGGCATTTCTAGCCTTTAGCACACCAAAACTGGCACCACAGTAGAGCCTGTAGCATTTTTTGAAATGAGAAAGAAGGAAAAAAAAAAAGGCTGATTGCTTTAAAGGAAAAGAACTATTTGACTTCTTGAAATTTTTGCCCAGTATATTTGAAATGACCTATAAAAATTTGTATTACATAACATGAGCAATATTTTACCTCCTTAGTTAAGATTACCCCTGGACAAAGAAGTTCAGATGTTCTTACAGAACTACTTTTCAAGTTTGATTGTAGCCAGTTTTGTTTTGGGGCAGATTTCAATGGGAAATAAAAATCAGAGTCTGATTTAGAAATGACTTGGACTACTAGGTCTCAGCATACCAAATATTAAATTCCAGACAATGGCAACTATAGTGAAAGGTGAGGAAACATGGTATCAATATGCCACCTAGATTTTTCCTCCCATCTATTTGAAAAACCATAAACAACCCACCGCAAAATTTACCTTTTCCATGAAGTACTCTTTTAATTGGGATCCTTTATAACTGTTGTGCCTTTCACTTTTCCAATAGTCTTATTTTCATAGCTAAGGACAGCACCCATAATGATTAATGACTTAGAAACAGATTGCTTAGGTCCCTGCACATTAGTTATCACTGTTACGAAGTACATACAATTTAACCATAAAACAAAGATATGCAATCTGTTGAAGTATGATTCATAATTGTGTATTATATTTTTAACTGAGAATTTAAAAATGAATTATAAACAGGAATGTGTTCCAGATTCTGTATCATTCCAAACTTATTAAAATGGTTGCATGTGCCCCCTTCAGCCAAGCTTTTTAAGCAGCTACTGATGAAAAAACTGGTGAGCTGCATTTGTTCAAAATAAAAAGGCTTCCTAACATCAACCCCCCACTTCAAGAACTCTGATAAGATACTATCCAGAATCAAATGAAAAAATATATCAACATGTACAAATCATTTTGAGTACCCAAGTTTATGGGTTCAGTAGGCAAATGGCAAAACATAAAGCAATGGAGTTATTTCTATAGAGCACTTCAAATGTTTTTCTTATAAAATCAACAAAATAAGAACAAAAAAAATCCCAGGGGAACTGACAAAGATAAACTTTTGTGTTGAAAGAATGTAGAAGGTAGAGTGAAACTGAATTCCTAGGGAAGATTACAACTTATTTTACTATTAATTCCCAAATTCTCATTCACAACTAGGATTTTATTATTTTTATCTTTTAGACAGATTGCACCTGAAAGTGAAGCACCTTCCCAAACACTGAAGTTATCTGTTCTTGGTTTCCATTGTATGCCTTTGTGTTTTCAGTTAAACTTCTGGATCTAATGGCTTAAAAAAAAAAAAGGCAAACAAAAAGACAGTCTTTTGTTTGAAAGGGCACAACAATCAGGAGCTCCACATTTAAAGTTCGTTTTCACTTGTCTCACCTTTGCAATAAATGTCCTAAACTTAAGAGCACTCTGATTCCCTTTCAAATATTACACAGAAAAGGCCAGAAGTCCGCCAAATTACAAATCTAAGTCTTTTGAAGACTACCAATCACTTTACTTTTGGATGGGATTTACAAAGAAACGTGTGACTTCTGTTACTAAACTATGAACCACCATTAACTTTTTTTTCCCCTGGTAAGCAATAATTATCAACGTTAAGGGCGTATTTCGACAAATAATGCAAACCAACCTCAGAGCACAAAGTGGGCTGATAAAATTACCATCATAGCACAATTTCAAAACTATAAGCAACCACAAAAAACAAAACACACACACACACAAAACCGCACCCACTCTTACGTAAACTTTTGGAGTAAGCAAACTTCTTTAGCCTCACCTTTGTTTTCACCTAAAAGGACTCTTCAAGACAAGACAGCAATTGCAGGAAGACCAAAATATCAAAAGATTCAGTTGCTGTCTTCATAGGTGAAACAACCAAAAATTTAAGACATGGTAACGTATTTAAGTTACCGAAGCTTAGGGCACTTCCCCAAGCTACAGCCATTTTAGATTCAGCCTTTCTTTTGAATTTCACGAGGGTGGAGAGAGGTAGATTTAAAACAGAAAAAAATCCTCCTTAAAACTCTTCAAGATCGAGCAGCTTTTTTTTCGGGGGAGGGAGGCAATCTGTAGGTGCTGGATACCGACTTAATCTAAATCAAAGAAAACACCTCGAAACCAAGAACCTAAACGCTGGTGGTTAGAACTCTTCTTTTCCCCTCAGTTGCCCCACAGTTGACTTACACGATTTTTTCCTCTTAAATTTTCCTTCGTTGGAAAACAAAAGCCCTTGGCTCTAATTCAGGGAGGAAAGAAAAAGAAACCCGTAAACCAAGCCACTCAACCACCGACAAGCCGGAACGCCTGGAGAGGAGCCAGAGAGCCGCAGGTGAGCGTTCCGACCCGAAGACCAAACTTGAAGTAGGAGCGCTCGGGCAAAGCCGCGGCGACACTCGACTGCAAAGCTCCTCGCGCGGGGGGAGGTGCCCCATCTGAACCACAGGACCGCTGGCCCCTCGGCTTCTCTGCCCCACCCCAGGCCGGCCGACACCAACCACCTGTGTGAGAGCCTCCTTCAACTAGTTTCAACAGCCGGTCGGTTGGGCACCGGGCGGAGCCCCGCGCCGGAACGACTCAAGATCCCCTACCGCCCGGTTCTCCGGAACCCCCACTTACCGGACTGCAGTGGGGCTACAGCTAGGGACCAGACGCAGCGTCTGAGGGCGCGTCCCCAGCTTCCTGATCCCGCAGAGGTGGAGAGCCCACAACCATAACAAAGCTCTTCCCAAAATGGCTGCCCGGCCCACACGGCCCCGGAGGGGCAGGGGGGAGGAGCGACGACCAGCCTGGCCCTCCCCCCTCCGACCCCGCCCCACATACGCCCACCCACTCGCACCGCCCACAGGAGCGCAAGCGCAGAAGCCCTGTTCGGGTGACCCTGCCGGCGCCTCACGCCGCCAACGTCCCGCCGCGTGAACGGCAGTTATTCCATGCGCGGTTCCCCAACCCCCCTCACCGGGGCTCGAGGCTGTACGTAGTTGCCTCCACCCCTCTGCAGAATTGAATGCTCTGCCTTTCCTTGCGCCGCCTCAGAGGGGGCTACCAGCCGAGTTTGGAACCTCTCTTATTATTTCCTGGCCCAACACAGGGCCTGGATGCGTGTGAATGAGTGGGTGGGTGTGTATGTGTGTACCATTTTGCCCGCCCCTTCACCCTCCCGTACCCCACTTCTGGGCATGCTCGCGTCCCCAAACTACCCGTACAAGTACTAGCAAACCGGCTTCGTAGGATCGTGTTTTCCGACCCTTCCCACCTTCCGCTCCTTCCTTCCTTCATGTGCGCACATCATTAAGACTCCAGCCCCCAGCGGGCCACACCGCCGTGCTCTGGAGGCCTGCGCGGCTGGGCCTGACGCGCTACCCGCTGGGAGTAGTAGTTCCGGCCGACCGCTGGCGTCAGGCCCCTGGCCCCACGCAAGGCGGATTTCTGTCCGCAGCCTGCTCTCGTGCCAGGGCGGAGAAGCTGTTTCTCTGACCTAAAGTTTCATTGGGTATCGCACTACTAGAAGGGGCGGCGCTGCCGTGACGGACAGAGAAGGAAATAAAAGTGAAAGCCTATTGGGATTAGAAGCGGTTACTATTACGAAGAATTCGCAATGGGCCCATTCTGCACGGGACGCTAAGCCATATGATGGCCGACAACCACGAAGCTACATTACCCAGAATCCGGAGGAATGGAGGAACTGGCCAACGACGCTCAAATTGCCTGGTGCTGTGTCCTTGATAGACTATGAAATGTAGGCCCAGAGAAGAAAAGAGACTTGTCCAAGGTCACAGAGCCGACAATAAAAGTTAGAGGGTGACAGAAAGAATGATCTAACTTTTCAGATTAACCCTAAACCCAGGACTGTTATCACCACTTACGGAAGCGAAAATCCTGCCCTTTGTGCTCTTATTTCTTAATGGAGTTTCCAGGTCCAAGCAAAGAGAATGGAAGTAACAGTTTTGTTTTTCTTAGTGTTAGTAGTTTAGGACCCTAACACAGAGTAAGATGTGCCCCATCGATCCTAGAAACCCTGTTATGAGTTCCAGAGATGGCAAGCAATTTGGCCAAGTCTTACTTGGCCTAGACTCCAAATTTCTCCTCCCTTCCTACAACACCATCACTTGAGATTGTTTCAGTAGTTGTGCCCTACCTTTCCGAATTCTGAGGGCCAGATTCTGCTGGCTGGGAAACCTGGAAAAGAGAGGCAAGGACCATTCAGGTACCCTACAGACCTCAAAAGCCTGCTTCTAGAATTTAAGAATTAAAGGAATGACTCAAGATGGAAAGCCCTGCGCGGGAACCAGTCAGCGCCGGTCGAGTCCCCACCCGGACTCTTTTTTTTTCTGTTCTCAGGAAGTGGGGGGGACTGCCAACCACCACCTGCCGGAAGTGCCTTTTCGTGAGTACCTGGCTGTTCTTGCAACTCCGCTCTCCAACCCCCGGTTCGACACTGGCAAGTATACTTACATATATAACAGCAGGGCTGCTGCCACAGTGTACAAATTGGGGGGGAGGGGGCACCAAGGGTTGAGAGTAAATCAAAGCCGCGGGGAATGTCAGGCAGTTTCCCGAGGATCCTTGGGTTTTCACAGCGCGCTTTTTTTATTTTATTTTTTTTTAGAGATTTTATTTATTTGACAGAGACGCAGTGAGAGAGGGAACACAAGCAAGGGCGGGGGGGTGGGAGAGGGAGAAGCAGGCTTCCCGCGGAGCAGGGAGCCCGATGTGGGACTCGATCCCAGGACCCTGGGACCATGACCCGAGCCGAAGGCAGTTGCTTAACAACTGAGCCACACAGGCGCCCCACAGCGCACTCTTTTCTCAGAAGTCTGCTCTGAGGCTTGCAGTTTGCAACTATTCCTCTGGGGCAGTGGCTATCGGGCGTTTTAACCTAAATTGAGCGGATTAACCCTTAGGTCTTTGCCCTTCATTTCCTCACCAGTTGCCGTCCCCGAGATACAGGCTATCACTCTTTCCATTTAACACCCATGAGTTGGAAAGCACATGGTCACAGTGCGTAGAGAGTTCCAAATGTGAAGAGAGCGTTGAGATTTTTAAGTGGGGTGGTCTGGAAAGCCCTTACGCAGGTGCTTTTGACCAACAGTGAGTGTGTGGGCCCTGCAGATAATGTGTGTTTGGAAGTCAGGAGGTGGATGTTAGGTGCCATCTAAGATGTACTCAGAGGCCCAAGATAAGTCTGACTGGTATACAGATTCCTCTACCCGGCCCTAAGAGCTATGACCTAGAAATCAGTTCATTAAAATATTTAATTAGGTAGCAAATGTGGTTTTTGGATCTTTTAGACACCTCATTCTCCTGGTTAAGAATGAAACTCATGTAAGACAGATCTAGATTCATATTCTCAACCACTTACTGGTTGCTTACGTTAGAGTTGTTTTTTTTTTTTTTTTAAGATTTTATTTATTTAATTGACAGAGAGAGAGTGAGAGAGGTAACACAAGCAGGGGGAGTGGGAGAGGAAGAAGCAGGCTTCCCGCCGAGCAGGGAGCCCGATGCGGGGCTCGATCCCAGGACTCTGGGATCATGACCCGAGCCGAAGGCAGTCGCTTAACCAACTGAGCCACCCAGGCGCCCCTTACGTTAGAGTTCTTAACCATTTCCTCTTGTGTAGGGTGGGAATATAGCCTTTTTTTTTTTTAAGATTTATTTATTTATTTATTTGACAGAGAGAGACACAGCGAGAGAGGGAACACAAGCAGCGGGAGTGGGAGAGGGAGAAGCAGGTTTCCCGGGGGGCGGGGAGCCCGATGTGGACCCAGGACCCTGGGATCATGACCTGAGCCGAAGGCAGACGCTTACCGGCTGAGCCCCCCAGGCGCCCCATAGCTATTATTTTTTGAATGCTTACTTGGTGTCAGGGACAGTTTGCAGCTCTTTACATATATTAATTTAATTTTTACAACGAAGCTATGCAGTTATTTTAATTGTTTCAAAAGTGAGTGAACTGCAACATAACAAAGTTAAAGACGTTGTACAAAATCACATACCTAATAAGTAAGTGGTGGAGCCAGGATCCCAACACAAATTGTTTGACTCCAAAATCTTCACTCTAACCCAACAGGCTACACTCTCAGCACCAAGTTGATGAGGTTATTGTATTAAATGAGTTAATGCAGGGGTGCCTGGCTGGCTCTGGGAGCGTGTGACTCTTGATGTTGGGGTTATGAGTTGAAGCCCCACATTGGTTGTAGAGATAACTTAAAAATAATATCTTAAAAACAAATAAATGAGTTAATGCATATAAAACACTAGTTATAGTGCTTGGTTCACAGCTAAATTGTATTAATTGCTACCATCATTATTTTGAGCTGTAAACACCTAAGCCCCAAAATAGATAACTAAGGTGAAAAAAGAGAACAGAGAAGCTATAACCTTCAGTTTTAAAGATGAGAAATCTAGGGGCACCTGGGTGGCTCAGTCGTTAAGGGTCTGCCTTCGGCTCAGGTCATGATCCTAGGGTCCTGGGATCAAGCCCCGCATCGGGCTCCCTGCTCAACGGGAAGCCTGCTTCTCCCTCTCCCACTCCCCCTGCTTGTGTTCCCTCTCTCACTGTGTCTCTCTCTGTCAAAATAAATAAAAATCTTAAAAAAAAATAAAGATGAGAAAACTACACTTCAAGGAAGCAATTTACCCAAGGTCACACAGCTGGGGAATTATAGAGGTATTTGTAAAATACAGATCTTCTGTCTCTGGCAATACTTTTTCTGTTACACCAGCTTTTAGCAAAAGCTAAAAGAATGGTTCAGAGAAGAAAAGGATTATTAATGTATTACTGATTTCCAGAAAACATTAATGATTGTTTTCAAAGGAAAGTATGTTATATGGAAAAAATTCTCAAGTTCCTACTTATAAAAAATTATGCATAAAATGAAGAAAATTAAGTGACATCTTGTTTTATACACAGCAACATGCTTCTCATTCAGCTCCTCCACTTAGCTGTAAAAATGCATTAATCAGAACTGCCTGGCATCTTCCTGAGCAAGACTTTCAGTAGGACCGAGTATGCTTCATTTCATCCAGAAGTTTTCTCAAGCATCTTCAAAGGTTGGTTTATTCAGCAAATACTTGCTGGCACTGCTTTGCTGGGGCAATAGCAATGAAAAAAAAAAAGACAAATCTTATCCTCATATGTTTAGGTGATGGGGGAAAGGGTGGGTAAAATACAAATAAGTATTTGTATTTTGTATTTGTATACAATATTTAATACTGCAAGTGGTAAGTCCTCTGGAGAACTATAAAGCAGGGAAGGGGAATAGGGGCTATCAACAATAGACTTAGGATTGCTCTTAAAAATAGAGGGGTCAGGGTGCCTGGGCCCAGTCAGTTAAGCATCTGTCTTCAGCTGGGGCCCTGATATCAGGGTCCTGGGATCCAGCCTGATGTGGGGCTCCCTGCTTTGAAGGGAGTCTGCTTTTCCCTCTCCCCATGTCCCTCCCCCCCTGCTCATGCTCTCTCTCTCGTGCTCTCTCAAATAAATAAAATCTTAAAAAAAAAAAAAAAAAGAGGGGCCAGGGGTGCTGACTCTTGATCTCAGGGTAGTAAGTTCAAGCCCCATGTTGGGTGTAGAGATCACTTAAAAAATCTTAAAAAAAAAAAAAAAAATAGGGGCACCTTGGTAGCTCAGTCGGGTAAGCATCCGACTCTTGATTTTGGCTCAGGTCATGATCTCAGGGTCCTGGGACTGAGCCCCACATTGGACTCCACCCTCAGAGGAGTCTGCTTGAAGATTCTGTCCCCCTCCCCCCAATAAACAAATAAATCTATTTTTTAAAAAGATTTTATTTATTTGAGAGAGAGAGCATGAGAAGGGGGAGGGTCAGAGGGAGAAGCAGACTCCCTGCTGAGCAGGGAGCCTGATGCGGGACTTGATCCTGGGACTCCAGGATCATCACATGAGCCGAGGTAGTCGCTTAACCAACTGGGCCATCCAGGCACCCTAAATAAATCTATTTTAAAAAAACTAGAGAGGTAAGAAGAGAGGGAATTGGCCATGCAAGTAGCTCAGGGAATAACATTCCAAACAAAAGGAAGAAAAGGCCCCAGGATGGAATAATTCCTAGCATTTTAAGGAGTTACCAAGATTCTTAAATAACTTTCATTTTTTTTCTTTCATCCAGTGCTTTTTGAGTTACTGTTCATCTATTAACTAGTTGAAGTCTGGAATCTGCTCACTAAAGCACAAAATCAGCAGGAAAGGTTATTACTTTGGCCATGTACCATGAAAGGCACTGGGGAGGGTTTTTTTGTGTTTTTTGTTGTTGTTGTTTTTTTAAGGCAAAAAAAAAATTACTGGCCTGGCGGGCGCCTGGGTGGCTCAGTCGTTAAGCGTCTGCCTTCGGCTCAGGTCATGATCCCAGGGTCCTGGGATCGAGTCCCGCATCGGGCTCCCTGGGGCAGGAAGCCTG